ATATATTAATTACTATAATTATATAATGTATGCTGTATAAATATAATTAAATAATATATATCAGTATATTACAATAGTTAATAATATATATATTTAAAGTTATAAAAATATAATTTTATTACGTATCCGACCTCCAAGGTGGAGCCTACCGGCGACCGTACTCGTCCCGCCTTGTCCGCCGGCCGTCTCAACTACCTTCCTCTGGAACCGTCCGCTACCGGCGTCGAGGACTTGCTCGGCGCGACAGCAGGGGGGCGCGGCTCACCCTCCGCGCGCGGATCGACCGTGCTGGCGGCTGCCGGCCGCTTCGTGCATCTTCCCGCTTGCTCGGCCTCGCGGCTCGCCCAGGGTGGCCGCTTCGTCGGCGACGAACGCAACGCGGCGTCCGCGCGCCGCGCGCCGACAACGTCCGCCGCCCCCCCTCCCCCCCCCCCCCCCCCCCCCCCAACGGGCCTCCGGCCGACATTCACCGTTGGTGGGCGCCACCGCGGGAGGCAGCCAGCCGGCGCCGCGATTCCGCGCAGCGGCCGGTTTCCGCGCTGGCGCCGTGACTGCGCCCGTCGACGCGACGTCGACGACTTCCTCCCGTCTGCAACCGCCGTCTTATACTAAGCGACGCACCCAAATCCGCGGAAGCCCTTTCCGCCGCACCCTACCGTTGCCGCCTGGGCAGCGGCCCCCTGGTGGTGAGACTCCTCGTGGTGACGGCGGCGCGCGGAGCACGGTAGCCGTTTTGCTCTCGCGTCTCGCCGGTTTCGGACGGCGAGACGCGGCGCATCCGCGTCTGCACCGCGATGTCGGCAAGAAGTCGAGCGTCGCCGCGGCTAACGCGCAGCGCTCGCGGAGCGCTGGGCGCGCTGGGGTGCGCACGACTGAGCCTCTGCAGGGACGCACGCTGCGATGGCCGTCGCGCTGGTCGTCGACGACGACGGCCTGCCGAGCGCCCCCTGCCGTCCGGCGCGCGCGCACCGCCGCGCCCCCTGAGCGCTGGCCGGTTGCGGCGTCGCGCGCGGCCGGCGACTACACGACGGCGGGCTGTGAATGAACGTTCTGCCGGCGGATCCTTCGCGGAGTTGCGAGTCGACGTGGCGGAGGTAGGGGGCGCCGGCGGAGCCTGGACGCTGACGCGCGACGGAGGTCACCGTGGTCGCGCGCAGCCGGAAAGAAGTGCGGCGAGCCGGCACGCGCGGGCGGGCCGGGCCGGAGCGAGCGCGCAAGCGACGACCGCGAAAACGACGACAAGATGGCGACAATGCAGCGCGAATAGGAGACAAATGCGCGGACAATGCGAGCCGGAAGGTGACGGAGACAATTGTGGCCGACAGTGTAGCAACCACTGTGGGGCAATATGGCCAACGCAGTGTCGGAAGCGAGTGGAGACAATATACAATATAGCTGAACAATATTGCGGCGAAGTGGAGGCAATTATATACATATAAGCAGAATATAATTGCCTGCCGCAGTGGGAGGCAATTACATATAGCTGACAATATTTGCTCCAGCCGAGTGGACGCAAGATGAGCCAACAGGTGCTAGACAACCATATATTGGAACCAAATATGAGCCTGACAGTATAGCCATGAGTAGAAGACAACATGGCTCAACACACCCCAATCGAGAGAGAGAGAGAGAGAGAGAGAGAGAGAGAGAGAGAGAGAGAGAGAGAGAGAGAGAGAGAGAGAGAGAGAGAGAAAGACAGACACCCACACATCGTCATGCAGATCATCACTTACTCCTGATCAACCTGCTGCGCTTCGTCCACGACGGCGGGCTGCGACGCAAACGTCGTCGTCGCCGCCGCAGGACAAGTGAGCAGCTGTGCGTCGACAAAATGGCCGTCGCCCTCGACGTTAGACAGCGTTTCCCAGACGACGTTCGCCTCGCCGAGGAAGCCCTGATCCGTAACGAGGAGGAAGAGCTCATCCTGGAGATAACGAGACAGAATTATTGTAATTAGATATTATTAATTAGATTAATTATTATTGTAATTAGATATAGAATTAATTATTTATAGAAGCAGTGACGACGTTCGCTTCGCCAAGAAATCCCTGATCTGTGACCAGGAGGAAGAGTGCGTCCTGACAAAGTTTATTAATTGATGTAATTAGATATAGAATTAATTAAATATAGAAGTAGTGAGAACACTTAGGAACCGCAATCATCCGTGACGAGGAGCAAGAGTTCGTCATGGAGACGGAGACGGAATTTATTAATTATTGTGCAATAATTAGTAATCAATTATCAGTGATTCGTTGGCAATCGCCACCATCGCAAAATATGATAAATAAATAACAGTGGGGAATACAATTGGCGAATAATTTAACTGCTTACAAAATTACGATTGCAAAATAAAATCCTCAGATTGCAGCGTTGTGTAAGTAAATATCTTCGTACTGTAACAACTATTCTACATGCATTCGTTCACCACTTCTATAGCTAATACAACGTGGTGAAACAACTATTATACATGCATTCGTTCACCACCTTTTACTATCAGACAACGATGCTCTGACCCACCTTGTGCTTGTAGCGCGTACTGACACAACTAATAATTAACTATCCAACACGCACTCATTTATTACTACATCTACGCAGGTTGCGAAATTAACGCGAGTCCGGAGTCAAATACTCCCTGATTTACTGTCGGACTCCCGGATTTGACAGATGCAAGAGTCCGTCTGACTCCCTGAAAATTCTGCTATACTAACTAGTTCGTTCCAGAGCACGACCTCGCGGCATGTTTCAGTAAATGCCCCCAAAAAATTTGACAGATGTGCAACCTCGTGAATCTTCAAAATAAGCACGTGCGTTATTGTTAATATCTTTAGTTTTGAACTTCAGACTGTTGGACGGCCTCATTTTGCTGCAGACTCTCTCTTTTTGAGGGCAGGGAGTCTGTTGGACTCTCTTGGTTACAAGTTAATTTCTACCCGTATCTATCAGATAATGATGCTCCGACTATAAATATAATAAATAATATAAATATATCATATAATAATAAATAATACAAAGATATATAATATAATAATTATGCTCCGTCTCACCTTGTGCTTGTAGAGTGTACTGAAGTGGTTGTTCCTGAAGAATACGGCCAGCTCCTCTTCCTTGAGAGCGACAATGAGTTCACAGAGTCCGTGGTACGTCAACTGAGATGCGGATCGCTCTAGGAACTGCTCTGCCAGTAGTCCTGGAACACACGAGAGAGAAAGTGATGCCCGTTACTTAGTTCGAGAGAGAGAGAGAGAGAGAGAGAGAGAGAGAGAGAGAGAGAGAGAGAGGAGAGGAGGAGAGG